TAAATACCTATATAAAAAGTACCTATATAAATATGAGTACCTCACCTTCAGCATAATAATTATTTCACCCACGCCGGACAGAGACTGAGATGGTGCCACTGCATTTCGTGCCTAACCTCTCACGGCAGGCGCGTCATCAGCTTGTGATCGTATTTTTGAGATCGGCCTTTTTAGAGTCCGCCGATCAATCATCCCAACGTGATTATCGGCCGATAGTGATCGGTAGCCGATCAATCGGAGCACCCCACACCATTTGCGTATTTTGAGAGAGAGCTCGCGCTGGTGATTCACTCACGCTTTTTGTGAAATTACGTCTCACACAAGGTTTTCAAATTACTTTAAGTTATTTAATGAAGAAATATGAAGGTACCTTATAAATACCTATATAAAAAGTACCTATATAAATATGAGTACCTCACCTTCAGCATAATAATTATTTCACCCACGCCGGACAGAGACTGAGATGGTGCCGCTGCATTTCGTGCCTAACCTCTCACGGCAGGCGCGTCATCAGCTTGTGATCGTATTTTTGAGATCGGCCTTTTTAGAGTCCGCCGATCAATCATCCCAACGTGATTATCGGCCGATAGTGATCGGTAGCCGATCAATCGGAGCACCCCTAGTTTTGTACATACAAGATTTCTGTCCGACAGTGATGATATACTGCATTTGTAACCTGTTTGTCTAGCTCATGTTTGAAATCATGTTTCAGATACATGTTTAAAATTATTAAGAAATAATGAAATATATATTTTAAAGCAGATACAGACTATAGGCTGTTACTAATGGGCATGTTTTTTTGGTAATGCAGGGAATTACTTTGCTTTCCTGGTTTGTGTTAGTCCTCTTCCAATTATTCACTTTCTGTCAAGTTCACTGATTACTCCATGGTATATCTACCTGAAATACCTGATGATTTATTTATAGAGATCTTGATTTTGAGGTCAAGCTCAAACAGGCATACAGTGGTGTCCAAAGTCTGAGACGACTAGTGAAAATCCTTCTATATTGCATTCTTTTCTAATTTATTGCAGTTTTTCATTTCAGATTTCATTATACATCTTATCAGTATAACAATATAAATTTAACCAAAAATTCAGAATATCTTTGGTTTTGTCCATTTTGCTCTAACAACAGCAGCACTTGAGTTTCACCAGTTTGTGCCAAACTTGGGCCCAGTTGTTAAAAAAATTTAATCTGGATCACGGTTATCTGGATTTGTAAATCCCTTGTTTTGCTGTCCAGGATTTTGTGCTGTTTTTTTTTTCCTCAAAGCAACATTGGAACATTAAACATGTTGACCTATTTTTAAGGTTTATTACATTTTGTTCTTAAAATCCACCCTGAATCCTCCCTTTCTGTTGGGAACAGGATCACTTTGGTTTTTTGGATCGCAGTATCCCAATCCTGCTAAATGGTTTTGAACAGCACGTACATGAGGTCTGATCCAGATCAAAACCAAAGTGATGATAAAAATAATGATCTAATCTAATTTCAGAACCATTTTTCTTGTGAACAACTCATTTCCCTGATAGTCATGCATTCCAGAATGGTTTGAAATGTGTGAAATGCTTCAATGGAAGAATAAAATCTGACCATCAGTGTCACAATGTTTCTAATTATGTTTCAGAATTCTTAAACGAAAGAAAAATTTAAAATGCAATTTGAGATTCTGTGAAAAAAACTGACAATTGCACCCCACTTTGCAAATTGTAAAGTTTTATAGCTGCCTGCTTATTTTTGACATTTCTCGTCTTGTCATGCAGAAATCTGATTTTACTCTCTGCTCTTTCGGCACTCTTCACACTCTCAACCGTAAAATGAGCCTGTCTGTCTGCTCTTTGAAAGATATTGTGGGATGGTGTTGTCATTTCATTAACTTGAACAGTCCCTTAGCAGAGGATGAGTTGAAATACGTGCTGTGTGACGGCAGTATTGGATGTAACGAAAAAAAATCCTATTATGTCTCTTGTTTACTTTTGATGCTATTGTGGTGATTGTCTGGGCAGCTCTGGGCATCTGCATTCTGGCAGGCACCAAATCTAATTTATTTTCGAGTCATTAGCACATCCTAGTATGAAGCCCAGCAGTAGCATCTGCTGTATCACTGTGGCAGGATCTACAGGGACCTGCACAATCACAGTCCTCATAGTGTGCATTCTCTCTTTATCTCTGCATGCTTATTTTGCCACCTCTCTGCCTCCATTCTGTCTCTTACACTGGTTTTCTCTTTCTTATCTCCCTGTTGCGCTCCCATTCTGTCTCATTTCACAGTCTTTTTAAGGAAACCCATACAGATGCACTGATGCTGTGGTTGTCTGCACAGTGAGTGGGATTCTGGAGGTGTGGAGTTTTATCTGCATTCGCTGAGCACCACTGAAAATAAATGAAACACAATTTCCCACTCATCTCCCTCACAGCATTTACAATGTCATCAATCAGCAAACCTGGAGATGTGGCTCTAAAAATGTTTCTTTCTCGCACAGATTTATAGAAGAGCAATCAATCGTGATTCTGGGGTGCTGGTCTACTAACCTCTATCTTAACATTCAGGCCACAAACCAAATACAAAACTCATTCTGACATTTGTATTCATTTTTACTCAGACTGTTTTGCTGAGCATATACACTATCATCCAAAAGTTTGGGGTCAGCAAGATTTATTTATTTTTTTAATCAATAAAAAAGAAATCAATACTTGTAATCGGTGAGGGCACAATTAATCAAAAGTGACAGTAAAGTCATTTATAGTTCTACAAAAGATTTCTAATTTAAAAAGTATATATTTTAAACATACTATTCATCAAAGAATCCTGAAAATTTTTAAGCAGAACAACTGTTTTCAGCATATTAGATCAAGAAACTGAAGGTTGGTGTAATGATGCTGATAATTTAGCTTTGCCATCACAGGAATGAATTACATTTTTAAAATACTACAATAGAAAACAGTTATTTTGAATGATAAATAAGTAAGATTTCACAATATTATTAGTTTTACTGTATTTTTAATCAAATAAATGTTGTCTTGATGAGCATAAATGATTACTATCAAAAGCATTAAAGGGGTCATCGGATGCCCATTTGCAACAAGTTGATATGATTCTTTAGGGTCTTAATGAAAAGTCTATAACATACTTTGGTTAAAATTTCTCAATGGTAGTGTAAAAAACACCCTTTTTTACCTCTGTTCACAGCAAGCCGTTTCGGTGCATGTCCCTTTAAATGCTAATGAGCTCTGCTCACCCCGCCCCTCTCTTCCATGCGGTGACGAGCCGTTCTCTGAGACTGTAAACTTTAGCCGCGAAACTTGCTAACTAGCACATTATTAGGAAAGGTGATTTGCAAAGATTCATAAAAAACATATACTCACTTCTTCTGGAGGTGAAGCTGGATCACGAATGATTCGTGCGAACATAGACACATTTAGGTAGATGGGGTGGGGTTCATTCTCTTCAAAAACAAAAGTAATGCGTCTTCGGCGGCTCGGATGTCGGGAGTAAATGATGACTGCTATGTTCATTATTACATCCAACCACAGAACACCCCAATCACTTAGGAGACATTCTTGTCTACCCCTGCTCCGGCGTCAAAACAATGGCGGATTTTTATCATTATAGGGTGGTTGTGTACTCACACTGCCAAGACACATTTCAGTTCAAACAGCATGTAAAAGTGAATTTTGCATCCGATGACCCCTTACAGACCTTACAGACCCCAAACCTTTGAACGATAGAAGAAAATTTCACTGGATGAAAGTAATGAGCATTTGGACTGTGCGTTGATTTTTTCAGATTCAGTGCTGATTCACAAGCTCTCTATTCAATTCTGCTTTCGAATCCATTTTGATTATTTCAGTTATAATGTCCTTTTTACCTGGAGAATGTACACTTTTACTTTAGAGAAAATCTACCACATTTACTGTTACTCTTCAAAATATTGTATAAAGTCCAGTGATTCCAATAGGAATCTTCACGTAGGAGTTTCATGTTTGACTTCTTTGTGAACTGTGCTTCATACATCTTTCTTTACTCTTGAAATGTTGCTTTAGTTTCAGTAATGTGCACTGCACTTAATGCGCTAAATTATACAAGGACAACGTTTCAAACTAGTAACCCGTCTTTTTAAACTATTCATTAAAAGAGTTATTTGTTGTGTAAATCATATTGCACTATAGCAATTCTGTAAGTTTTTGATTTACAAAAAAAGATCCACAACTCATAAGAGCCATTTGTTCATTAATTGAACTACAGTGATGCTCTAGTGTGATTCCTGCAACAAATGATTTTTTATGAATTTGTTCTTTTAATGAATAGTTAAAAAAAAAAACGAGCTACTGGTGCGAATTAGTTACTTGGTTCTAAAGTGAAAGATTTCCTTAGAAACCAAAATGCTCCTTTAGGAGCAATAAATGCTCTTTTCTTTTTTCAACTGTTTTAAGCAGCCTTGTGGGAACCCGTGATATGCTGCTAATGATAGAACAGTCTCACCTCACAAAAAGGTGATTAAACAATTGAGTTTGCCAACACGTTGATTTCCTTGTAGTGTTGCCATCTTTGTTTAACAGCTATGAAGAAGTAGGTGGATGCATTGAATGACAGCCATAAACCTGAATATGTGTGAATCTGTGGAAATCATCAGAGACACAATGTGGGTGGCTGCATTTGCTAATTTGTTATCAAATTGGATTTCATGCTAAATATAGTACGTTATTAATCCACCTATCCACCGTTGGCCCCCAGACGTCAGTCTTCACTTAAATTAAAGATGTCTTCATGATTCGCACCACACAACTGTGGTCAACTCGCCATGCACTATCAATTCATCATGCTTCAGAATGATACAGTTGTTTTTGTTCGTCTGAAGTGAATTCAGAATGGAAGTTTCTGTCAGAATTGTCACTACCAGTTTTTATTATTCTGAGTGTAGTGTTTGTCTCCCTTGTGTCTTTCTCTCTCTCTTCCCAACTTTCTTTCTTCCTCACTTCCTCCTTTTCTCTCTCAGATCAGTCAGATGCTGGGGAATGAGATCAAGTTTGCGGTTCGAGAGCCTGTGGGACTGAGGTAAGACAACATCCCTGTGCTGTTCTGCCACGCTCTACACCGCAGTGCTTGGGGGAGTTTGCTCTTATAAACCTCATTTATTACGGTCTGCCTTGGGTCACCAATGCAGAAAATAGCAGGCCTTTAATTAAAGCACAGTTATTTTGACAGGCCACAGATGAACCGGCTGAACCCTGGGCTCGATAATTGTACAAATTCAGCCGCTGTTTAAGTTACGCATATCATTTTGTCTGTCTCTGGAATGGATACTAAAGCCAAATGGTTTATGTAAGAAGAATCCCCTGCAATATTATTAGCTTCTAATTTATGTGCATTAGCTGAGTCACTTGTTAAGTCTCTATAGCTCAATTTGAATTTTGCACTATTCAAGAACATAGCACATTTCTAGCATATATACAGTGGGGTCCAAAAATCTAAAACCACTATTGAAGCATTTTTGTTGTTAAATGCATTTTTACATTTTAAATTACACTACTGTCCAAAAGTTTTAGGTAGGTAATATTTCTTTAGTGTTTTTGAAAGAAGGATCTTATGCTCACCTAGGCTGCTGATCAAAATTAACTGTTTTCTATTTGAATATATTTTAAAATGTCATTTATTTCTGTAATGGCAAATTTGAATTTTCAGCAGCCATTACTCCAGTTGTCAGTGTCAGATGATTCTTCAGAAATCATTCTAATATGCTGATTTGGTGCTCAAGAAATATTTCTTCTTATCATTGTTGGAAACAGTTGTGAAACATATTTATTGGACTGTCCTGCCTTTAATACAAGTAGACAGCATTTCTATTTAATAAGCTCACTTTGTTTAGTAAGATTTTACCAGAAAAGTTTTATTTTTTTTATTTTTTTATAATTTTTGTCATACATAAATGTTAAAATATTATCTTAACTGCTGTGTTTTTCTTTTTGTTTAGTTTTTATTTTACTGTATATACGATCGACTGGGTTCGCAATCAGCATAACAATTAGAGTCAAAATAAACATGGATTTCAAAATGTCTTAGTATGGGTTTGTCTCTCTTTTATTATAATGACAGCAGCACTGTATAAAACCTGATGAATATGTTCTCCAGCATGATTTGAGATGATCCAAAGAGCTTCAATGGTAGAGAAACATCTGACCATCTCTAAAGAGTCATATAAATGTCACAAATTAACTTATTTGATAAGTGATCTAAAAGTGGTCAGAATCTAAAATAGCTCTTATTCATTTTACATTCAAATGTTTCTTTAAGTTTATTTCCAGGTTTAAATGCAATCCCAGATCCAGATGAATCCCAGATATTTCATCTCATGCTTTTGAACCCCTCTGTACTATATCTCACTGCCCTTGGCGCTTTAGAATAGAAGATTCACAACCAAAGTTAGCCGTCTTTTCTAACTGACTGATGTTTTTCCTTTCTCAAGATTATGGATCCTCTTCTCCGCTGTGGTTTTCACAGTCATGGCCCTTATGGTAAGTTTCAATACTTTAAGCTTTATACAGGACCAGTGCTCTCTTACTATCTTTAGTATCACAATGAATCTATCAATAATTTATTTGAAATGTGTGATTTATAGGCTCTAGCCTTCCCTAACCAGCTGTATGAAGTTGTATTTGATCAAGAACAAACAGCCACCAGTTATTTTAAAATGTCATTTATTTCTGTAATGGCAAATTTGAATTTTCAGCAGCCATTACTCCAGTTGTCAGTGTCAGATGATTCTTCAGAAATCATTCTAATATGCTGATTTGGTGCTCAAGAAATATTTCTTCTTATCATTGTTGGAAACAGTTGTGAAACATATTTATTGGACTGTCCTGCCTTTAATACAAGTAGACAGCATTTCTATTTAATAAGCTCACTTTGTTTAGTAAGATTTTACCAGAAAAGTTTTATTTTTTTTATTTTTTTATAATTTTTGTCATACATAAATGTTAAAATATTATCTTAACTGCTGTGTTTTTCTTTTTGTTTAGTTTTTATTTTACTGTATATACGATCGACTGGGTTCGAGTCCGTCTTTTGCCAAACTCTCTTTTCTTCCTTTTCTCATCACATATCACATCAGAAAAGTGGAAATCAATTGCTTAACAAGTGTTTAATAATAATGTATTAATTAGGGGTAGGCAGGCTATAGGGAGGGCTTTGTTGTCCCAATAAGGCAGCATCTATTTAATAATTTCAATAAATAAAATCATTGTTATTAAAATCAATGTTATTATTGCATCCTGTTAATGTACAACAATACTGAAGTGCAAATAGTATCTGCCACTATTTATAAGTATAAATAGCATCTAATTTTTCCTCGAAATTTAATGAGTTTTTTTCTCGAAACATAACGACTTTATTATCGAAATTGAATGAGTTTAGTCTCAACATTTTATCTCGACTTTTTTCTTGAAATTTAACGAGTTTTTTCTCGAAATGTAACGACTTTAATCTCGAGATGGTTTTATTTTTTTATTATTGCTTGGCCCTAATCCTCTTCCGTAATTTTTTTAAAGATTCATTGATAAATAGAAAGTTCAAAATAACAGCATTTATTTGAAATATAATTTTTTGTACCATTATAAATGTCTAACTTTTGATCAATTCAATAGATCCTTGCTGAATAAAAGTATTTATTTTTTTACAAATAAAAAATCTTACCGACCCCTAATTTTTGAAAGATAGTGTATATACAGTGGGTACGGAAAGTATTCAGACCCCCTTAAATTTTTCACTCTTTGTTATATTGCAGCCACTGTATTATCAGCAATCAGCATAACAATTAGAGTCAAAATAAACATGGATTTCAAAATGTCTTAGTATGGGTTTGTCTCTCTTTTATTATAATGACAGCAGCACTGTATAAAACCTGATGAATATGTTCTCCAGCATGATTTGAGATGATCCAAAGAGCTTCAATGGTAGAGAAACATCTGACCATCTCTAAAGAGTCATATAAATGTCACAAATTAACTTATTTGATAAGTGATCTAAAAGTGGTCAGAATCTAAAATAGCTCTTATTCATTTTACATTCAAATGTTTCTTTAAGTTTATTTCCAGGTTTAAATGCAATCCCAGATCCAGATGAATCCCAGATATTTCATCTCATGCTTTTGAACCCCTCTGTACTATATCTCACTGCCCTTGGCGCTTTAGAATAGAAGATTCACAACCAAAGTTAGCCGTCTTTTCTAACTGACTGATGTTTTTCCTTTCTCAAGATTATGGATCCTCTTCTCCGCTGTGGTTTTCACAGTCATGGCCCTTATGGTAAGTTTCAATACTTTAAGCTTTATACAGGACCAGTGCTCTCTTACTATCTTTAGTATCACAATGAATCTATCAATAATTTATTTGAAATGTGTGATTTATAGGCTCTAGCCTTCCCTAACCAGCTGTATGAAGTTGTATTTGATCAAGAACAAACAGCCACCAGTGTCTCTATACGTCTCTATGGAGGGGCCATTCTCAGTAAGTCATATTCATTTCATTCTGTGTTTTAATAATGCAACGTAACCTAATGATCTCTCACACTCTCAATTAGAGGTTGTCATGTGGTCAGCACATCTGTTGATGGGCTGTAAACAGACTCCTCTATGTGTCTTTTTACTCTTCTACTCAAGGGGCTCTTAGGATGTGTTTTTGTGTTTGTTATGTGAGTTAATGGCCAGTCAGCCAGTGGATTGTGAAGAGAAGCGAGGAGGAAATATTCCCTGAGGGGCGGCACGCTCTCCGCTGCTCATTCATTTAATTGCACATTAAATCGGACTCTTTCTGGCCCACTGCGGACAACGAATTTGCACAAATTAGTAATGCAATTATTCCTCTCTAAACCTGCTCCCTTTTCAAATCTTGCCCTCAAAAATTAAATAGATGAGATGTATTTTTAATATTACTCATTTAATTCTCCTGGTAGTTAAGTCTGTGTCAGCCACTGTTCTCTGGTGTCTCCGGGTGAACATTTTATGTCTCAGCCCCCTGGTGATAAGTTACCTTTAATTAAGTGTAGTTCACTGGAACAGTGAACATTTGTGCCATCTCACTCAACATTTTCTCTTTTTATCTACCATTTCTAAAATTCACTACATTTAGGCTATTCATTGGATTAAACTTGGAAAATTAACTAAACTAATCTGAAATATCATCTTAACTCATAGGGAAAATAAAGTATTTAAAACCTTCTAAAGGGTCATTTGTCTTTGGTATATACAAACTACAATCCTTATAGTTTGAAGCATAGCAATAAATGTTGTGACACATTGTAATGTTTAGCTGTTACAAAGCTGTTCTTGTTTACTTGCACTATTGTTCAAAAGTTTGGGGTCAAAAGTCTGTTATTCTTACCAAGGCTGCATTTATTTGATCAGAAAGTTTTATGTGTTAATATATTTTAAAATGTAATTTATTCCTGATGGCAAAGATTACTTTTCAGCAGCCATTACTTCAGTCTTTAGTGTCACGTGATCCTTCAGAAATCATTGTAATATGCTGATTGCTTAAGAAATATTTCTTCTTATTATCAATGTTGAAAACAGTCGTGCTGCTTAATATTTATTTGGAAACCGTAATGCATTTTTTTTCCTGGATTCTTTGATGAATATAAAGTTCAGAAGAACAAAAGAATCTTTTGCAACATTATAAATGTAGTAACTGTCACTTTTGATCAATTTCATACAATAGAAGTCAACAAGATTTTACTGACCCTAAACTTTTGAATAATAGTGTACATATACTGTAACACAGTGGTTCTCAACCTTTTTTTCCACTGGGCCGCACTATGGTCCAAGTGCAAGTCTCACGGGCCGCACGCATATCATTTACATATTATGTCACCAATACAAACCAACCAGATTTATAATAGCCTATTATAGCCTAAATATTATATCTAATCAATTACATTAATTGAAATAAATAAATAATTATACTCACCATTAATAAAACACCTGATGCTGTCGGGAGCCGACCAATTTTATGAAATTCGGCTCGAAAGGAGTAACAGCACAATGAAGTTGCGATTGTAAGCTGCAGTCTGTAAGACGCGCACGAAAGCGTGACTTGACGCGCGACATTGCAGAAAATGTGCGTTCACTGTGCCTATGTTGATCCAAATATGGAAAGCACTTTCGAATTTAATAACCTGAGGTTCTCTCCATAGATGTTTTGCCACATTTCTGCAATTAAGGATGATTGCTACATAGTATGGGTGTTTCCTTTTGCCTGAACTAGAGCCCTGCATTTCAGCCCGGGCCCGATGGGCCCCGACTTTTTTACGCCCCTAGGGC